AAACAAGGATAATACCACCAACCTTGTAGGGTTGTTATAAAGATGATTGGTTATGTATATGCCAGATTAAGACCAGGCACACAGAAGGTGACCAATAAATAGATCACTATTCCTGCCTCAGAATGGCTTTAATTTCTATGTGAGGACAAAGGTAGAAAGCTAGAACACTGCCATGGCAGGTGTAGCCAGCACTAAATGAAAGCTGGTCGCCTCCTCTTCATTCTGCTCCTCTCCTCTACTTTGTCAGTTCAGGCCTCATCTTTCTCACCGGTATTATCACAACAGTGTCCTGAATTGATCTTCATGCATGTAACTTGCATGCTCACCACACTTGTCCTAAAGCACAAACTTGATCATATCAATCCTTTATTTAGCATCCTTCGATGACTCTTCACCACCTCCATGATAAAATGCATACTCATCAGCACCAGGCCCTTCCCAACCTTATCTCTTGGGATGCCCTACTCCTGACCCCCACCACATAAATTCTCATGTCCAAGCCACATCATAGTGTATTTGTTATTTCCCAATCGCTCCATGCTCTCATGCTTCCAAACCTATCTAGAATGTTCTATCACTGATGAGCCCTCTCCATTCTTAAAAACATAGCTGAAACATCACCTTCTCTTCAAAGCTTTCCCTGACCCTAGAATTTTCTTTGGTATTCCGAAGGCCTTTCTTCATACTACATTCGCAAGCCGTATCCTAATTTTGCTGGCCTTGTTTCGGGCAGCTCTAGCCCAACTGTGACATCAGGCAAGGGACAGGCGTTATCTATCATTTTCGTATTATTCCCAGTGCCTAACACAGTTTGTAAAAAATACATTTTATTGAAAATATTTTTGTGATAAGTTTAATATTGTTTGCATTAATATCAACAATCTGAAAGACTAAAAAAACTGTCACTATAAAGTATTTCTAGAAACTACTGAGATTTTTTTTAATCCTATTAATTCCAAACATAAAGAGATTTTTAAATGCTGTGATAAAACTCATACAAATGTACATATTGGAAGGTACGTCAGGCCAAATTATCATTAAAAAATGAAATCTCAGTATTATAAAACCTGAAGAAAATTTCAACCATAAGGAAGGTATGACTTTTGACTATGTTCTCATGTTCAATAGATTAAAAAATAAAACCCAGCAAAAGTAGTCTTTTAGATAATGGTAAAATACTTATTTTGGGGTGTTCTTTTTGAAAAGGCATGTTTCATCTTGGCTGAGAACAAAAGCAGTGGGATTATCTTACGGGATATGCATATAATTTTCTTTTTTTTGGATTTAAAAAATTATTTCCTATTTTCAAATGATTTAAACCTTTTACAAAAATAAAACAGTTGGGCAAATTTGCCTCCACCAACTATCACAAAAATTAACTTTGTAGTTTATATAATCCATAACTATTACCTACAAAAATCTATAAATACTGAATAATAGAGAAATCAAAAATATCACTTTAGGTAATACACCCATTTAAAATTGAATCCATTTCCATGGAGAAAGGAAAAAATACACAGTAGCATTTGGTATAAAAGGAAGAGCACTAATTCAGCTCTTTTTCAAAAATGTTAGAACATGTGATTTGTGTTTTTTTAACTTCCAAATATAACTCACTGTATTTAGCACCTTCTGTACTTTCCAGTATATTAGATAATTGCATACCAAGTTAAAAACAAAATAAAGGAAAACATTTCTGCCACCCACCATTTTCATTAAAAAAATGGAAGTATTACACAAACACACAGAGCACCTCGTAAAGGTTGGTATGACTAGCCCCCCAGAAAACTGTTGTTTATAAATTTTAAAAATTTGAGGATTTAGGGGACATGGGAGAAGAGGAAATGAGAATTATGTGATTATTGGTTTTAACACAAAACGTGAGCTAGTAATTTTCAAATTCAGTTCTAGAGAACCATGGAGGTGTCTCAGAGGTTGCAGATCCTGAACCCCACATCAATTAGAGAAGCTCCATATTTTTTGTCCATTTATAGACTGAACTACCAAATATCTCATTTGCACAAAAATCTCCATAACTTTTAAAAGTCTGAAAAATCACTGAGAAGGATTAGCCGATGACAACCGTGGATAATATTGATATTAGCACCTAATAAATAAAAATACAAACAGAAATGTTTTATATGGAAAAATGTTTTACAAAGTGGTAAAAACATTAAGAAACAGGCAAGACTAGTATTTGTACTTACTTTATCAATAAGTTTATTCTGCTTCTCATCAGTTTTATCAGGCTACAGTTTGTAAAGGGAAGGGACATGTAAGTTAAGCTTTTTCAACTTGCTTGTGGAAGAATGACAGTAGATGATTTTAGCAGCGAACTGGCTGTGAACCCAAAGCAAAGATTTTTGGCAGGGTATGACCAAGCTGAGAGGCGACATTAGTGGGTATGTTTGTTTAGATAAAGGGGAGGTGGCCCATATAATGTTGGGGTAGGGTACATACCTTTTCTACATTGGAGAATCTGCATAAGAAATATCTATTCCCAAGAACACTCCTGATTCTTAACATCTTACTCTCTCCTATGCTTCTACTTCCATGCTAATTAAGGCCATCAAAAATAAGAAATAGTACTTAACTACAGTAATTTATGAAAAGTCATTTTCTAAGTAAATCAGACTATTTAGAACTCAGCCATTCTATATGCTTTGTTTTCCATGATGAAAAAACTGCAGAAAAGCTTCCTTGCCAGTGACCTGATCCACAATACCAGGAGGAAGCTGTGACAGACTCATTTCTTCCATTATCTCTCTTTCCTCAGCCCCTAGTATGAGTGGTTGAGATTGTGACTGAGAAGAGAATAAAGTACCAAAATCATCTAAAAATAATCCTATTTTTTTCCCACACTAAAATGCTTGTGTAGCTTATGAAATGATGGTCGATTTTCCTATTTGCCAAACTTTCTATAATGTGGAACATTGTTTCTTAAAGCTTATTACTTTACAATAGAGAATGTAATTGCGTCTCTCCACATTGATTCATTAATTTGAAAAGATCAAGATAAAAAAAAAAAAAGGCTGTGCACAGTGGCTCACGCCTGTAATCCCAACACTTGGGGAGGCCAAGGTGGGCAGATCACTTGAGGTCATAAGTTTGAAACCAGCCTGGCCAATATGGTGAAACGCCATCTCTATTAAAAATACAAAAATTAGCTGCGCGCGGTGGTGAGTGCCTGCAATCCCGGCTACTTAGGAGGTTAAGGAGGGAGAATCACTTGAACCCGGGAGACAGAGGTTGCAGTGAGCCAAGATCGCGCCACTGCACTCCAGCCTGGGCAACAGAGCTAGGCTCTTGTCTCAAAAAAAACAAAACAAACAAAAATCAGAAGAAAAAAAAAAAAAAAACCTACATTAACTGGCATTTGCATTTTGAAATCAAACCATATGAATACTCATTGATAGAAACAATCCTTTCCATTTGGCTAAAAACTAAAAATCAAAAGTCAATGACAATAATAATAATGTTAACTACTTTTAAAAAAGGAACATTTAGTTCTTAAGTTCCTAATATCAGTAACATTTAGTTCCTAATATCAATGGATACTCTTTTGAAAGTTCAGAAATAAAAACAATGCTAGTTTGTTCTAAAACATGGGAAATTCAAATGTCATACATCTACTCTCCAAACTTTGGTACCTTAATTATTTATCATGTAACTGACCCATCCAGCAAGATATTAAGAATCACAATTCTAGTTTCTTCTCTATGGTAAAACTACGGTAAATGAAAAGCAATTCTATACCTATGATATAGATGCCAATAAAATACTGACACCTGCAAAAGAAGTACAGAGACTTAGAGAAATGACCTACATACAAGACCGTACAGACTTTCCTATGCTGTTTTCTGGGCTTAGAGAAAAACCAGGCCAAGTTCTAGTGGTTTATTTTCTCAAACTAGACACAATATGCAAACTACGTATAAGTTATGTATTGATATTAATTTCCTCAAAAGAAGATGATACAAAACATCTAAAGCCATAACAACTTTAAGTTTTTGCAAGATCCCAAAATGTCTTCTTGCTCTGAAACTAGTATTTGACAGACTAACACATGAGCTAGATGCTTGAATCCTTTTTAGTATAAGGCAACATATAAATTTTAATGTATTTATAACAGATTTTGATATTCTATACTTTCAACAAAGTATCAAATTTTCATGACTGCAACTCCTTCCTCTTAAAATATATATTGATTACAGTACATTTATATCATTAAAATCATTACTAAATATACAATATAGGCAAGAGTAATCATATTTGTGCTTTTATACGTAACAATTATTTTCTGATTATAAAATCTATCTCTTCAAAGAAATAACCACACACTGGTACATTTTTCTATTTTTTTAAACCAAGACAAAACTAAGCTTATCCTTGACATATATATAGTTTTTAAAAACTGGGATTTTTTAAAAAAGTGATTTCTACATATCTTTCTAACCAGTATGCACTATCAGGGGAGATGCAATTCATGACTTGTACCACCTGAGGGCACTCCTAAAATCTTTAAAAAAACCAAGAATCACATTTTTACCTACTAGGAAAAAGACCCAGTCCTACTTCAAGTTCATGGTTTGAAAAACAACTTTCAGAAAACATGTGTTTCTTTACACAAAGATGATAAATAAGCATAATTCCTATCCACTGCATAGTCTCTGGGCTTCATGTACTCTCAACAAAAGTGTTTCTAAAGCAGGATGAAACACATCTAAATACTTCAAATAAAAGAGTTACAAATTAAAGAGAACTAAACTCACAGGACTGTCTTTCTAGATTATACATTTATCATCAGTAAAAAGTTGATATTTCTATAGAAAATAAAAATTCAAGAACTACTTCAAATATATACAAGATCTAAAAGTTAACAAAAAGATTTGCTCTTTAACATATACACGGCACTTCAGATCAAGAATACAAGTAAACCTTCAGTTTTGCTTTGTCTCTGGAAAAAGAAAGAAAATACAAGTAAACCATGGGCACCTTACCTGTTTCCTGTGAATTTAACACTTCTAAGGCATGCATCATGGCACTTGCGAAGACATTGGCATCCTCTTTGCTGCCAAAGTTGAGACCATACACCTGTCTAGCATCTCGCCACTGGTGGAAGGTCTGTGTAGCTTGATTGTACTTCAATCCTTTAGGAATGGCACAATTTATCACAACCTAAAAAATAGTAAGTCTTTATAAAGTCAAACCAGTAATTGGCAAAGTCAAGGATGTCAACAATTGCTGACTGTATATATTCATTCAAATGTGTTCCTAATAGACCTTGACAAAAATGGTTTAAACAATTATCTAGGGTAAAATCTACAGAAATATCAGTCTGATAGAAGTTAAGCTTTTTGCTGATTACAAAGGTCTGCCATGAAACAGTAAATTGGCAAAACAAAACAAAATCTATTTTCCTCATTAAATATATTTTAACTTGTTTGCTGAAGTTTTACAAATACAAAAAAGTATACACAACATAAAAGTGTATCTGTGAATGTTCACATGAAGTCAGTACCCTAATTAAGAAATCAAACAGCAACACCAGAAGCCCATCTTCTTAATTCCTCCCACCTCCCAAAAGGTACTAGCCACACTTCTAACATCATAAATTACTACATTTATATGAAATCCAAAACCAACGTATCAATCTGAGGAGGGTCTTGAGTATCTATAGGGGTCTTAAGTATCTTTAATTAGATTTATTTTCTATTATTAATCAAGTTTTGTAGGTTTTTAGATTTTATAAAAATGGAGTTATACAACATGTATTATAACGTATCTGCTCTCTTATCCTCAAAATTGTTTGTAAGAGCCATCCACTTGTTGCATGCAGCTGTGGTTTGTTCATTTTCATTGCTGTATGGTAGTCCTTTGTATAAATCATGCTTATTTAAGCATTCTCCCTAATGAACATTTAGATTATTTGCAGTTTAGGTTATTAAAAATTGTGATGTTATGAACTTTCTACTGCATGTCTTTTGGTACAAACAAGCATTCATTTTTGTTGGGCATATATCCAGGAGTGGAAATATCACAGGACATGTGTATGTTCAGCTTTAGTAGGAAATTCCAAGTAGCTTTCCAAATTGGTTCTAGTAATTTACACTTCCACAAGAGTATACAAGAGCTTGTGCTACTTCCACATAACTATGCAACATAACAACTGGTACTATCAGTCTTTATTTTAGCAATTCTGGTGGGTATGAATGCTTTATCACTGCAGTTTTAGTTTGCATTTCTCTGATTTTTATTAGCTATCTAGATGTCTCTTTTTGTGAATATCTGCTTGAATTAAGTCTCTTGCCCATTTTTCTACCGAGTTGTCAATTTTTTTCTTCTTTGATTTCTAAGCCCTTTATATATTCTAGATATGATATCATTGTTGGTTATCTATGTTGCATATATCTTATGCTATTCTATGAATCACCTTTTCACTCTTAACGGTTTCTTGATGGATATAAGTTCTTCACTTTGATTCTGTTCAAATTAGCAATCTTTTTCTTTATAGTTACTGCTTTAGTGCTGTTTAAGAAATGTTTCTCAATCACAAGGTCATGAAAATATTGTCCTATATTATCTTGCAAAAGCTTTATTATTTTACTTTTCACATTTCTATCCCCAATCCAGCTGGAATTTGGTATGTGCCTATGGTGTGAGGTAGGGATCAAGTTTGCTATTTGTTTCAATATGGCTGTAAAAATGATCCAGCACTATCAATGTGCTACAGGTTTGCCTGCAGAACATAAATCAAGTGTCTATGTGGCTCTATTTTCTCCTACAGATCAATATGCCTTTTTGCCAACTCTACAATGTCTTAATTGTTGTAGCTTTATACGAAATCTAGATGACCATTAGAGTGTGTCTTCCTGTTTCATTCTTCAAAATTGCTTTGGCTCTTCTTAGTCCTTTGTGTGCAGCTAGTTTTACATTCTGATTATCAGTTTCTATCAAAGAAATTTTGGGGACATTGAGGTTGCATGACAGCTAACATATCAATCTGAGGAGGTTCTTAAGTATCTTTATGGGGGTCTTGAGTATCCTTCATTAGATTTATTATTTTCTATTATTAATTGAGTTCTAAGTATTAGAATCTTCTATTATTCCTAATAATTTACATTAAGGTTTTTTCCTCTAAATACACAACCATGTAATCTGCAACTGACAGCTTTATTTCTTCCTTTCCAATCCATGCACAATGTATTTATCTTCATACACCTACTAGAAATCACACTACAATGCTGGAAAAAAGTGTTCATAACAAGTATCTTTATTTCCTGATTTTAGAAGGAAAGATTTCTCAATTAAACTGTTAAAAGTATGATCTTTCACACCAGGCAAGGTGGATCACGCCTGTAATTCCAGCATTTTGGGAGGCCGAGGCAGGTGGATCACTTGACGTCAAGAATTCAAGACCGGCCTGGCCAACATGGTGAAACTCCAGTCTCTACTAAAAATACAAAAATTAGCCAGGCGTGGTGGCATGTGCCTGTAATCCCAGCTACTTGGGAGGCTGAGGCAGAAGAATCACTTGAACCTGGGAAACAGAGGTTGCAGTGAGCTGAGAGTCTGCCACTGCACTCCAATCTGGGCAACAGAGTGACACTCTGTCTCAAAAAATAAATAAATACATAAATAAATGACCTTTCATGTAATAATCTTATTGATACCTTTTATCTGGGGAGAAACCCTCCTATTACTTGACAGCTAAGGGTTTCCATCATGATTGAATACTGCATTTTATCGAGTGCTCCCCAACATACCTTGAGGTGACTGGCTCTTCTGTTTTTTATGCAGTTAATTACACTGATTATTTTCTAGTACTCAACCAACCAACCTTACATTCCTAGGATAAACAACATTGGTCCTCACATATCAATTTTTATAAATCTCTAGATTTGTTTGATAGTGCTCTGTTTGAAATTTTTACATCTACTTTTATGAATGAGATTAACCTCACTATTGTATTCATGTATTCATTGTATTAATGCCAGGTTTTGACAGCAAAGTAATGCTAGACTTACAATGAACTGGCACTGTAGAGTTGGCAAAAAGATAGGCATCCTCTTTGTGTATTCTCTGGAAAAAAGTATGTAATATTGGTGTTCTTTAGTTGTTAAAGGTTTGGTTGAAAAGGACACCACCAGTAGAGCCAGCTAAATGAAGTTTTTCTTCCTTTTACTTCTTTTAATCATAGTCTTAATTTCTTTAAAGTGTTTTCCTAAGAATTTCTACATCTACATTTTCAAAATTACTAAAATAAAGTTGCTCAAAATACCCCCCTTAATCACTTAAATGTCTCTAAGAGTCATAGTGATGTCACTTCTCTCTTCATAATGGCTATTTAAACCATTCTCTTTTTTTTTCAAGAGCTGTCCCTCACAAGGACTTTAGAGACAAACCTCTCCTTAGTGTGTTTCCTTTCTACTGCATTAATTTTGGCTCTTATCTTTATTGTTACCCTCTTTCTATTAATATTTTATATGGCTTTAATGGTCTATTCTTTAATTTCTTGAAACGCATCCTGAGTCTGGCTGAAAAGTCAACAATACTTATTTTCCAAGATAACATTTCAGCCTCTAAATTTCACTTTAATCAGAAGTTTCATCATTATTTAGCTCAACTAATTTTTCATCATTATTTAGCTCAACTAATTTTTCTTATTTCATTGTGATTTCTTCTCTGACTCATGGACTATTCAGAAAGGTATTTCTTAACACCTACACCTATGGGATTCTCTATTATCTTACTTCTAGATTAATTCTGCCGTGACCACACACTTTGTATGATTTTAATCCTTTGAAATTTGTTGACACTTTCTTTAGGGCCAAGCATACATACAATTTTGAAATTGTGACATGTACATTTGAAAGGTATGTGGTATATATGCCAATTAGGGTAGGGAAGTAATTGTATTGTTCAAATCTTCTATATATTCTTACAGGCCTTTTTTTCTGACTGCCTGTTCCATCAGTTACTAACAGAAGTAAGTTAAAGTCTCCTGCTGTGATTCGTAAATTTGTAACCAGAACAAGAGAAACTTTGACACCTCTGGTTCCAAAATGGCAGCGCAGAAGCAAGCTATGGCAAAAATCACAATTACTTTTGCATCAACCTAACAGTTCTCTACTCTCCCCGCCCCCCACCAACAAAACAAAATCAAGTACACAGCACCAAAATTATCACCAGCAATATCCCACAACTTAAATGGGAGTGGATAGACAGTACTACAAATAATCTTTAAAAGTATTAAAATTAAATACTTTCAGGCTGGGCGCAAGGGCTTACGCCTGTAACCCCAGCACTCTGGGAGGTGGAGGCGAGTGGATCGTGAAGTCAGGAGATCAAAACCAACCCGGCCAACATGGTGAAACCCTGTCTCTACTAAAAATATAAAAATTAGCCAGGTGTGGTGGCACATTCCTGTAATCCCAGCTGCTCGGGAGGCTGAGGCAGGAGAATCGCTTGAACCAGGAAGGTGGAGGTTGCAGTGAGCTGAGATGGCGCCACTGCACTCCAGCCTGGCAACAGAGTGAGATTCCGTCTCAAAAAAAAAAATTAAATAAGTAAGTATTTTCACTTAATAACTACTTATTGGCTGTCCACTGAGCATACTGTCAGGTTTGGACTACATCATAATCCTAAATTCTGTGCTTCAGATCCAGTGAGCTTGAGTCTAGCCTGGAGGTGATGTTCCATCTTACACATGCCTATCCATTTTTAGCCTGACCATAACAGAGTAAACACTGCAGTAAACACCCACACTTCCTTGTGACCTGGCTCAACATCTTATCCTGTCTGTGAGGTCATCCATGACCCTTTCTTCTATCTTCTCAACAAACTGATGATGCTTTTATGCCCTCACTGTGCTCTACTCACTGTACTTATCACAACTGAAACATTTAACTGGGGTTCTTTGCTTATGTGCTTAACATCCCTATCCTGCCTCAGCCTCCTGAGTAGCTGGGGATTACAGGCGCGCGCCACCACGCCTGGCTAATTTTTGTATTTTAGTAGAGACAGGGTTTCACCATGTTAGTCAGGCTCTTCTCAAACTACTGACCTCGTGATCCGCTCGCCTTGGCCTCCCAAAGTGCTGGGATTATAGGCATAAGCCACGGCACCCAGACAACATCCCCATTCTTTACTGCATCTTTCATTCAAGGTCAGGAACGATATTCTAATATAAAACCCAAGCATAGTACCCATAAGCACTTAATAAATGTTAGGTTGGAAAATGAAGTATTTTAATATGCTTATATAATATATTTATATAATTGTACATATTCAATTTTACAAGTAAATGGTGGGTGGTTTTAACAGCTCTTACTATAGAAAGTTTAGATGTTTAGTAAATTATAACAACATGTGCCCACTTACAACAGACTGATAACCATTAAGATATGTAAGAATGATGGCCAGCCACAGTGGCTCATGCCTATAATCCCAGCTACTCGGGAGACTGAGGCAGAAGGATCACTTGATCCCAGGAGGTCAAAGCTGCAGTGAGCTATGGTCAAACCACTGCACTTCAGCCTTGGCAACAGAGCAAGACTCTGTCTCAAAAGAGGCCGGGCACAGTGGCTCACGCCTGTAATTCCAGCATTTTGGGAGCCCAAGGCGAGTGAATCGCAAGGTCAGGAGATCAAGACCATCCTGGCTAACACGGTGAAACCCCATCTCTACTAAAAATACACACAAAATTAGCTGGGTGTGGTGGTGGGCACCTGTAGTCCCAGCTACTCAGGAGGCTGAGGCAGGACAATGGTGTGAACCCGGGAGGTGGAGCTTGCAGTGAGCCGAGATCGTGCCACTGCACTCCGTCTGGATGACTGGGCAAGACTCCGTCTCAAAAAAAAAAAAAAAAAAAAAAAAAGAAATGCAAGAATGGAAGAAAGAAAACCAATTATTAATCAGATTTATTCTTAGGGATGGTGTTTTTTTAAGTATCATTATATTAATAAAATTATATTTTCTAATTGTTTACTACTTATACAAAAATGCGAGTGTTTTTTATATACTGATCATGTAACCAGCAACCTCACTGAACAATCTTGTTGGTTCTAATAGTTTATCTGCAGATACTCCTGGGAGATTTTTATGCAGACAATTACATCATTGGTGAGTAACCAGCTGTTTCTTTCTTATCAATTCTTACAGCTTCTATTTCTTAAACTTTGTATGGCTAGGTTATCTAGTACCTCATCTTTAACACTAAATGAAAACGGTTAGAGCTGAAATGCTCAATTTATTCACAACGTTAATGGAAAGGCTCTCGACACTGTACAATCCTGTAAGATACCTGCTGTATGCTTCTATTATCCACCCATATCAGCTTAAGAACATTAATTTTATGCCTAATGTGATGAGAACTGTTATGTATTGATTCAAATTTTATCAAATGCTTTTTCCAGAACTTCTTGCTTTTGTAGGTTTTCTCCTGGGAAATAACATTAGTAAGTTATCTAATGTTAACCATCCTTATATTACTGAGGCAAACAGCGATAAGCCCTATTTGATCCAGAAGTGGTTTTGTTTTGTTTTTTACTCATTACTACATTTGGTCTGCTAATATCTTATTGAGGACTATTATATCTAGGTATACATTCATAACTGAAGACTGGCTCCTCTCCCAAACTTGTTCTATGTTTTGGATATCAAAATTATACAAGCCTTATAAAATATCATTCTCTACAATGGTTACATAAAACAGAAAACACAGTGACATTTTAGATCTCATTTGTAAATGCTCTGTACTCTCCTGCAGCTTTTTAAAATTTGGGGGGCAGATTATTTACTACTGATTTATTTCATGATTGTAGGTCTATCATGTTTTCCTACTCTTCAGTTTTAGAAAGTTATGTTTTTCTACAAAATGGCCCATTTATTGGCATAAAGTTTTTCATAATATTTTATTTCCTTAGGTAACTATAGTGGTATTCTTTATTTCATTCCTAAAATTGGTTATTTGTACTGTTCCTTTTTTTCGTTTGATTCTGCAAGTTTTTGTTTTTGTTTTTGTTTTTGTTTTTGACATGGTCTTGTTCTGTCTCCCAGGTTGGAGTGCAGTGGCACAATCACACTCACTACAGTCTCCACCTTCCAGGCTTAAGTGATTCTTCCACGTCAGCCTCTCAAGTAGCTGGGACTACAGGCACACACATTGCACCTGGCTAGTTGTTTGGGTTTTTTGTTTGTTTGTTTTTTGTTTTTGTTTTCTCTTTGAGATGGAGTTTCACTCTTGTTGCCCAGGCTGGAGTGCAATGGCACAATCTCAGCTCATTGCAACCTCTGCCTCCCAGGTACAAGTGATTCTCCTATCTCAGCCTCCCAAGTAGCTCAAATTACAGGCATGCGCCACCACACCCAGCTAATTTCTTTTTCTAGTAGAGACAGGGTTTCACCATGTTAGTCAGGCTGGTTGCGAACTCCTGACCTCAGGTGATCCACCCGCCTTCGTCTCCCGAAGTGCTGGGATTACAGACATGCGCTACCGCGCCTGGCCTGTTTGGGTTTTAAAAAATAGTTTTGTAGAGACAGTGTCTCATTATGTTGACCAGACTGGTCTTGAACTCTTGGGCAGGCAATCTTTCTGCCTTGGCCTCTCAAACAGCTGGGATTATAGGTGTGAGCCACCATGCCAGCTAGTTTGTCTTTTCAATGAAGCAGCTTTTGTATTAACAAATACTATTTATTTTTATTTAATTAATATCTTTCTAATATTTTATTCTGCTTTCTTTGGGTTAAGCTCATTGTTTTTTAGTTTCCCTTTTTTTCCTACTACATACAATTAAGACTTGCACATCTAAGGACACAATTAGATGTCCTACAGGTTTCTATATGTAATATCACTCAGGCCTGTGTTTTCTTATTTTCTAATATTCATAATAATTTCCTCTTAATGTCACAATTTAGCACAGTTTTAATTTTGTAATGTTTTAAGAAACATTCTACTTGCCAAAATCTAAGAGTCATAAGATAGTTTACTTCTCCTAGAAATAAAAATTTTAGTATTTCATATGCAAATTTCCTAGCTTAATCTTCTTTCCAGGCCGGGCGCAATGGCTCACGCCTGTAATTCCAGCACTTTGGGAGGCTGAGGCAGGCGGATCACCTGAGGCCGGGAGTTCGAGACGAGCCTGACCAACATGGAGAAATCCCATCTCTACTAAAAATACAAAATTAGCCAGGCGTGGTGGTACATGCCTGTAATCCCAGCTATTCAGGAGGCTGAGGCAGGAGACTCGCTTGAACCCGGGAGATGGAGGCTGCAGTGAGCCAAGATCACGCCACTGTAACCCAGCCTGGGCAACAAGAGCAAACCTCCGTCTCAGGGAGAAAAAAAAAAAAATTTCTTTCTGATTATCTTCAAATATTCTTTTTCGTTTTTGTAAATATAGGATTATTCATCAGTAATTTTCAAATAACCAATTCACTAAATTTACCAAAAATGTAGTTACTTTACAGCTATTAGTTTGCAATGTTGTATTAAGAAGGTTCAACAATTTCTACAAAATCTTAATTGTCCAGTTTTCTTTTTTTTCCCCCCATAATTAACATCTTGGGGCATATTTGATTTATCTCTGGCCTAAGTCACTGCTGGAACAAAGACAAAGATGAAAGAGTGCTCAGCAGAACCTGGACTACAAATGGGACAGAGGGGGCTCTTGGTAAAAAGCCTGGGAGACCAGAAAAAGGCTGTGCAACACAACAAGGAAACTGGAGCCCAAGGGAAAAGGCAGGAAGACTAAGGAGGGGAAAGAAGAGAGTAAGAGGGCAGGGCACAGGGGAGAGATAGGGAGAAGGCAGCCAGAGAGGGCAGAAAGAGGGGCAGGCCGAAACCATTTGTATAAATGGATAAATGTGGTAAATTCAGTGAATTGCTCTTTCTACAGACTGACTCAGAACTGTGAAAGTTCATCTCCACGCCGGCACTGCATTTGTTTTTACCATGTGCCCCAACAGTTTCAGTGCTCTACAACCAGTGTTTTCCTAATGTCTTGGCTGAAGTTGCTTAAGTGAAGGAGTTTCTCATTTCTCGGGGGAGCTTCTAAGTCAGCTAAGAAAGCAACAAACTCCTTTGCTTCCCTGTGCTGATAGGAGGATTTCTCTTAGCCCTCTTTCTATGGGGTGTAGTCCCTCTAAGACTGCCATGTTTTTGTTTATTTGTTTGTTTGTTTTTGCCAAAATACCAGTTTCACAGCCCAAACTCTCATAGGCCCACAGTCCCTATATGCATACATGACAAATCTTACCAATCCATAATCACCATCCTAAAACCCAAGGCTAATGCAGCATCTGTTTACACCATGCTACCACGCAATGTAGGGGAAACCTAGGAACCTACCTTTCTTTATAAGAGCTCAGCTGGGCAATGAAGAAGAAAATTTGTTACATTCTTTCTGCATGTGTAGCAGGATGATTTTTAAAGTCAGTTGATTCCAACTTCTTTGGTAAATATTTTTTCGCAAAGTATTTTGTAAATCTACTCTTTATAAAAGTTCTTACTATTATTATATAGTTAATGCTAGTAAGACCTTATCCGCCTTTTCCTCTATCTACTGCTCTTGATCTGTTAAGGCCCAAGAAATCAAGTAATCAGATAATCCAGCTACTTTCTAGGAAATTCGAAGCAAGGAATTAGTAAAAGCTTAGCTGTCGCCCCAGACATGAACTGCAAAAGTCGAACTATTCCAGCAACCTCAATACCTACTATTTTTCTATCATATGTGAATTTAACAGTATTTTCTGAAACTATTTATACTTTCAACTCCCTCCTCTAACCCCATGCCCCAAACTTTGCAGGAAACGAATTCCATCAACATACAATCTGCCACTTAAGTAGAGTTTTGTTTCTGTTTGTCCTTATTTTGCTTTAGATTTCAAAAACTAACTAATTGAAGGCCAGAAAATCTAATGAAAATTCATCATAAAAGAACTTATACTTCTACTTTTGTACAATTTTTTCTAAATCGTTGTTTAAGTTCAGGCTTCATAAAAGGTAGAAAGGGTGGAGAGACAATTTTTTATTCAGTTTTTCCCAGAGAGACTATTTTGCTTAGAGTTTTAAAACTACTTTATTTTACGGAATATACCAAGTCCTTTTGTAATACTAAATCATTTTTAACAAGAATTGTAGTAAAGCCTTACCTGATGGTCCTGAATCTTCCTGCCCACCACTCTGAATGTGTTGTTGCCTGTATGGTGATAGATATGAACTCTGCTGAACCCAGTTGAGCCACCAGCTGGCACCCACTTCTTATTGGCATCATCATAAACCATCACAGCAGCTCTTGCCTGACAGATACTCTGTTCACTGTAAAAATAAAATAAAATATTCAAACTTACAATATTAAATATGCTAAGTGTTCCACATAGCCACATAAACCTAGAAGGCAGTCAACAATCCGTGCTGTTACTGGGTGCTAGAAACAACAATGGACAAGACAGAGGCTTCCTACCTTTATGCGTAGAGTCTAATGGTGAAGACAAACCAAAAAAAAAAAAAAAAAAAGTATGATTAAAAGACCAAAAGGAGAGTAGGATCCATGAAGAACACTTAGATAAGCAACACAACAAATGGTTTCTTCTAAATTTGAGTATCTAATTCATTCACTAAACTGAATACAACTATTATGTTGGTTCAAAAATAATTGCACTTTTTGCTATTTTAATGGCAAAAACTGCAATTACTTTTGCATCAACCTAATACAAGTGTAAATTAATCATCTGCTTAATTGCATACATGTTTAGTATATTGATGACCTGTCTGTGATAACACCTTCTTTACTAAGAAAATTATTTTTATTCCGGGCTTGCTTTAAAGTCTGTAACAAAAAGTCTGATAATCAACCATCTGCCCCTTGAGACACAGAGTGGCCATTAACAACCAATGGATGGCAGTGTAACTAAATTCCTCATTCCCCTTGGGCAAGATAACATCCTATGCTTCCAATTTCTTCATTTAAAAATGAAAATGTAAAATGAGATAATTTCTAAAGACCCCACTATATTTTAAATTCTAGCCTCCACGGATAAATATTAAAGGGGAAAAGGTCAATTCTTAAACATTAGCTTCATCTATCTCAATTATTTGTTACCAAGTGAGACTGAGATGCACAAATAAATAAAACAGAGACGCCGGGCACGGTGGCTCAATGCCTGTAATCCCAGCACTTTGGGAAGTCAAGGTGGGAGAATAACCTGAGGCTAGGAGTTCAAAACCAGCCTGGGCAATATATCAAGACCCCATATCTATATTTAAAATAAAATATAAAGATAATCTCAATTTGATCTTAAGCAATGGGTTCATCTTTCAAATATTCTAGGGTATTAGAATAGGTACATCAACTCTATGCTTTTAACCCAATTAAAATAACTCAACCTCAATACAGACAAACCTTCTGATAACTCCTGATGACTTAACAGTCGTTAATGGAAATCCTCTGAAGCAGCTCATGCAACCATATCCTTCACAAAAGCACTGCTTATTCTACCAATTTTATCTCAAAAATTTTAAACAATAAATCATGTGAGTTCTTTCCTAAAAACTGTCAGAAACAGAAAGTCTTCCTCACACTCTCCCCTCTTACTCATGCATCTGCCCCACCTGTTAACCCATCCAAGAGAGATAATGAAATGCAACTTTGCAGGAGATAGCATGTGTTTTATTCTTGTCCTTGGTGACAGAAGATCACTGAAGGCCTAAAGAGGTCACAGCACTGAGTAATAAAATTGCTTCAGAACAACAGAGTTATAATTATTTGTAATTTTCCATTAGAAAAATGTTTACAAAAACTAACTTGTAACAGTATTTGTGCAGCAAACCCACAGTAATGTCTAAATTTTTATGCTGCACTGACATTTTTGGTAAAATACTTATGGGAATAAAAACAAGCCAATGACTAAAACTTGAATTATTTTTAAAAGATGGATTAAAGGGCATTTGTCAGTAGCAGTTGAAAAATCTTTCCCATCATTCACAACAGAAATATTTTTTATGTGATGACATTTACATAATCCTATGGAAAGATTACATGAAACAAGCTAAGGCAAAGTGCCTCTTATACCTTACAATTCAAGCACCAAATTTACTGCTAAATGTAAATAACAATTCAATAAACAAATCTAGAATAATACAGGATACTATTTTCCAGTTTTCAAATAATATTTTTGCAGTTACATTGTTTCCAAGATTCCCAAGATTCCCAAGAAATAATGTCTTGGGGTGTGGGGGGCTGGGGGAGGGACAGCATTAGGAGAAATACCTAATGTAAATGACGAGCTGATGGGTGCAGCAAACCAACATGGCACATGTATACCTATGTAACAAACCTGCACGTTGTGCACATGTACCCTAGAACTTAAAGTATAATAATAAAAAAAAGTAAAATAAAATGTCTCTTTAAGAAGTGTCAGTAAGATCACATAAGCTAAAGGAATACCTCGTTTTGTAAATAGGTCACTTCATGCTTCAAAAAACATTTTTAAGTATAAGAAATCTAAAACAAGAAAAGTTAGCTTTAATGGCCCAAAGTTTTCCTCTACTTTTTTTCTCCAAATGAACCTATCCAAGTAGCAAAGAAAAGTCAAAAATGCAAAAAAGTAATTGGTTTTCCGATGAAGATGAAAAGAAGTCTTCAAAATGAAATGTTAAACATTTCCAATTCTGAACAAAGCTGAGAATAAGAGAAGAAAAAATAAGCTATGGGTAAGAGCCGAGGTGTTACTGGAGAGGTAGTAATAGCCATGTGGGTATGTGGCACACTGTGAAGGGATTGGCTAAACCCAAATAACTGTGTAGTCCTAGAAGATATCAGGCACTGGCAGGGCACAGTGGTTCACACCTGTAATCCCAGCACTCTGGGAGGCCAAGGCAGGTGGATCATCTGAGTTCAGGAATTTGAGACCAGCCTGGCCAACATGGGGAAACCCCATCTCTACTAAAAATACAAAAATTAGCTGGGTGTGGTGGCAGGCACCTGTAATCCCAGTTACTTGGGAGGCTGAAGCAGGAGAATCATGATCACACCACTGCACTCTAGCCTGGGCGACAGAGCAAGTCTCCATTTCAAAAAAAAAGACATTAGGCACTCAGAGAAGCCACATCAAGGCCCAGCCAGGAAGAGATGGCACTGCCTGCTGGGGTTTAGTGACAAATGCAACTCAGTCCTCTTATTCCTTTCCACAACATCTGAGGACCTCTTCTCACTAGAGACATCCTGTCGTGTAATAAAAATACAGCTGACCATTGAACAACATGGGAACTGCACAGGTCCACTTATACGCAGACTTTTTTTTCCAGTGTGTTTTTCAGTATTTTTTCCAGTGTTACACTGGAAAACCCGTGCCTGCCTTCCCTTCCAGCTCCTTCACCTCTCCCACTTACCCTTCCCAAGACAGCAAGGCCAAGCCCTCCTCTTCCTGCCCCTCCTCAGCCTGCTCAACATGAAGACAAGGATGAAGATCTCTATAATGATTCATGTCCACCTCATGAAAAGTACATATATTTTCTCCTTCTTGTGATTTTTTAATCTTTTTTTAAATAACATGTTCTTTTCTCTAGATCACCAGAGAAAAGTAATCTAGAGATTACTTTACAGGCTCACGCCTGTAATCCTAGCACTTTGGGAGTCCGAGGCGGGCAGACCACCTGAAGTGAGGAGTTGGAGACCAGCCTGACCAACATGGAGAAACCCCGTCTCTACTAAAAATGCAAAAAAACAACATTAGTCAGGTGTGGTGGCAGGAGCCTGTAACCCCAGCTACTCGGGAGGCTGAGGCAGGAGAATCGCTTGAACCTGGGAGGCAGAGGTTACGGTGAGCTAAGATCACGCCATTGCACTCCAGCCTAGGCAACAAGAGTGAAACTCTGTCTCAAAAAGAATATGGTATAAAACACATATAACATAACAAAATATGTGTTGATCAACTGTTTATGGATATCTATAAAGCTTCTACTCAACAGTAAGCTATTGGTAGTTAAGTTTTTGAGGATTCAAAAGTTGCACTTGGGCCGGGCACAGTGGCTCATGCCTGTAATCCCAGCACTTTGGGAGGCCAAGGCGGGCAGATCATTTGAAGTCAGGAGACCAGCCTGGCCAACATGGTGTAACTGCATCTCTACTAAAAATACAAAAATTAGCCTGGCATGGTGGCATGCATCTGTGGTCCCAGCTACTCAGGTGGCTGAAGCATAAGAATCGCTTGAACCTGGGAGGGGGAGGTTGCAATGAGCCAAGATAGCGCTGCTAAACTCCAGCCTGGGTGACAGAGTGAGACTCTGTCTCAAAAAAAAAAAAAAAAAAGGTTGCACTTGGGTGCCAGAGTCCCTAACCTCCTCCACCCCTCTACTCGCCTTTTTTAACTCTACTGTTCAAGGTCAACTGTATTTGGTCTGGGGTCCTCAGTTCCTAGTACAGGGCTCCTTAAAGTGCCTTTGGTATACTAATGAGATGATTCTTGGCTGAGGGGCTTCTAGGTGGCCTCAGATGGGGCCAAGTAGCCAGAAATATCATGGCATGATTGGAAAGCTGGAACTCAGGCCCACACTTCCCACCCCATTACCTCCCTCTGCCAACAACTGGGGAAGGGAGATGGACTAGAGATGGAGTTCAATCACAATGGACAATGATTTCATCGATCATGTCTATGTAATGAAACTTCCATAAAAACCCTGAATGACAGGGTCAGAGGGCTTCCGGGTTGATCAACATATGACGGTGCTGTGAGAGTCACACTTGGAAAGGGTAGGAAAAGACTCAACCCCCACACCCTCACACCTTGCCCTATGCCTCTCTTCCATTTGGCTACTCCTAAATTATATCCTTTATAATAAATGGTAATAGTGAAGTGCTTTCCTGAGTTCTGGGAATCATTCTAGCAAATTACCAAATGTGGGTTGGGTGGTTTCAGGAACCTCAGTATTTGCAGTTGGCTAAGCAGATGTGGGTAGCCTGGGCACTCCATTTGCAGCTGGTATCTGAAGCAGGAGCAGCCTTATGGAACTAAGCCCTTAACCTGTGGGGTCTATGTTAACTCTGCATAGTGTCAGAGTGAACTGAATTGTTGGACACCCAGCTGGTGAAGGAGAAGAGACTGTTGAAGTAAGGAAAAAAGCCACTCACATACTAACTCCGATTATAGGTGTGATGCACAAAATTAGCGGTAAGCAGTTTTAGACTTCATGGAGCCATGAACATCAAAAGCAGAGTAGATAAATCAATACAGAACTGGCTGCCAATATTTTGCCCTACTTGCCAGGTATGCGATGGGGCAGTGGTGGGGACCAACATAACTTATTTAAAATGATATTTT